AACTGTCCTTCCTCCACATCCACCTGTGTTTGGGGAGCTCCACCTGTGTTCTGCCCTAGCCCCCAGAGAAGCACCTCCATTTCCATGCCTATTAGGCTGAATTACAACCAGTATCAATGCCAGGTAATTTTTGAGGGCTTATTCTGCTCCAGTGCTGGGCTAAGTAACACAGCACACAATATTTTTAAATCCCTAAAACAAGCAAACCTGTGGGACAGATTTTATTATCTCTGCCAAAGGGAATAGTCTCTGAGAAGGGAAGGACCCTATGTCAGGCGACATGCCCAGGGAATTCAGAAAATGGGTTAAACTCCATGTATACCTTATGCCAAGACTCATTACTGTGGTCTATTGCTGTATAATAATATTGCATATTATTTTTTAAGTTTGTTTATTTATTTTTGAGAGAGAGAGAGTTAGCAGGGGAGGGGCAGAGAGAGAGAATCCCAAGTAGGCTCCGCGCTGTTAGCACAGAGCCTGACGCGGGGCTCGAACTCACAGATCATGAGATTGTGACCTGAGCAGAAACAAAGAGTCAGATGCTTCTGCGGCTAAGCCATGCAGGCACCCCAACTGTGTGTATTAGTGTTGGGAAGTTTTCATGAGGTCCAGAGGCTTAAACAAACACCGCGAGGTAGCTACTAATCGTTATTCTCGTCTTATGAATGAAGAAACTGAGGCAGTTAGGGTAGAGAGTGCTTGGTGTCACCAAGTTCATGAGCGGTGGACCCTGCAGTCCATGAGAGATGGGTGAACACCACAGCAGGCGCGCCCTCCTTCCCACGACCCGCCGGCACAGTCCCCTGCTCCCGAGTAGGACGCAGAGAGGGGTGCCAGGGGCTTCCGACATACGACACCTGGCTCCCTTCCCTGGTGACTCTGATTTCACTGTCACGGGTGCCACCCGGGCTTAAGTCTAAGCTCCCCGGGTGATTCTAATGTGGCACAGTCTGGACACCAGCGATAGCAAGACTTTAGCACAGAGTGTGTTTCCTCACGGGAGGATAATAAATTTGATCTCTATTAACACTTTCAGTATTATTAATGTTATCATTAGACACTGGTCTAAAAGCAAAACAGATGAATTGAAAAGAATAAGCCAAACACAACAACAACAACGAAACAAGAACGAATTAATTGGTCCATGTCCAAAATACTTTTCTGTTAATAAACAATTTAAAAAATTGCTTTTATAGAAGGTAGACTAAAAAAAATAAAATAGAAGCTTAAACACACAAACAAATCAAACAATACAGAGCTGAGACTTTGCTTTTGGTTGAGTTTACTGGTGTCTCTTACCCTATCAGAATCACAGACAATCCTGTCTGGTGCCTTCCATTTAGGTGGCCACACAGGACCTTGCAGGAAGACCACTGCTTTTACTTACGGTTCCCATTTTCCACGAGCCTTTGAAGCTTGCTATAGTGATTACTACCTCATCCACAGCTTTACAAAGAGGAAAATCTGATTCAAGGGAGACAGGCAATGCTTTGTACTTTTCCGTCTTTCAGGAATATTTCTAAGCTGTTCAACCCCCAGGCAGAGATTTGGATCTCTTACACCTTCAAGGTTTATTTAAGCCTCATGGTCCTGTTGTGAAGCTTTTGCAGTAAAAACTCAGGCTTATCATGAATATATAACTGGCAATGTACTAGATAGAATTTCAAGTCAGAACTGGTCCCCCTTTGTTTCTGTCTATCCATCAGCGGTGGCTTGCTCTAGGCAAAGGACATGCGGCTGCTAATTTTAGTTTGTCATTAGGTGAGGTTCCTAAGGTCACCTAGCTTTGGTGACGGGGACGAAATGCATTTGTGAGGGAGACTGTCAGGCAGAACAGAGGGATTATTGTCACAGTAATCTCTAGTCCTTATTTGTCCTGATTTGTAAATATTTTCACATAGCCTATTAATTTTAACACGTTTTGTAAATGATATTTCAAAACCCTGTAGATGAAGTAAAATATTGATGATTTTGACTCTGAAGAAAGAGTGGAAATATTAGTATAGTTTGCTTTTTCCCCCTTCGCTCTGAGTCTCTATCAGAGCTGAAGAATGTACCCAGGCTATAGCCAAAGCTACTCAATTTATAATTTTTCAAATGTCTTAATTCCGTCGGAATATATACAACAACCTACATACAAGTCTATTATCATAATTACCATAATTGACACTTCTGCTCACCAAGAGATAAATTATGTTCCCATAGTGTCTTAGACAGAACTCATGTGTAAACTCCCAATGTAATTTTGTCGTGAACAATGTATGACCTAGAAAGCAGGGTTTCTTCAATTTGGTTACAGTAAATGGATCCAAGCAAATTGGAATATTCAGAGCATGAATGCAATCAATTTGAGCCCAGCTATTCTGCTTTAGGAAAGTCAGCTCAATTATTTCCAGTCATTTAGAGATTTTTTAACAAGAGAGCATTTGGTTTTTTAAACGGCGTCACAATAAATGAGGATATTATGTTACCTGGAAAATATATTTCTCATATCTGATTCTATACACAAATGTATGACACAAGACATGCAATCCAAGCAAATGTAATTTTCCATGCACAAAACTAGCACATCAGCTGAAAGGCTAAAGTTATTTTACTCTTGCGTGTTATATACACATGTCCCCAATGGAGACATTCTTTAACAGCTACGGTTTTCAACAGTTCTGCCAATTAGTGTCAAATGAAAAAGGGAGGACCTTTCTAGTAGGAATTCAACAGTATTTTAGCCTATAAACTTCAGACTTACAAGTGAGTCTCAAGTTTTGGTGTTTCTACTAAGCTCAAGTTATTTTAACCATGAATTGACTCCCTAGTCACCAGAGGCCTTTTGTTATTTACAAGATTCAAAATAAGTAAATCAATGGATCAACAATAAATAGATTAGTAGAGTATCATCACTTTTCCTTATAAAAATAATACATTTAACTACAGAGCCTGCTCTTTAATTTGCCAAGTTTGATGTGTATTCATATTAAAATGATTTATCTTTCTACCAGTGTTAAAGAGAACATTCTTCAAGAGACCCTAAGAATCAGGAAAGGATATTTTAATCATTACTCTGATACTGATTTCTAGTTGACCTACTAAAAGAACTATAATTTTTCTTAGAAACTGATTCTGACGATCTTGAGGAGGGTCTCCTTTACCACTTTGTTTTTATACTATTTCCTGGCTCAAAGCACCTGGGGTCAGTGCCGAAGGGCTGTTAATCTGTCTCATGTTTCCCTATATTTATACACGCGCACACACACACACACACACACACACACACACACACACACAGTATAGAAACACAAGTGAATATACATATGAATAGTTCACAGGTACATGTGTATGTATAGGAATTAAAAAAGGATGCTCACTGCTGCGTTAGCTGACACCTACTTGTGGTAAATTAGCTAATCAAAATCTCTTTCAATTCTTTTTTAAAGTATTTTCTTCATGCTTATTTACTTATTTTGAAAGAGAGAGAGGGAGAATGAATGAATGAATGAGTGGGAGCAGAGAAAGAGGGAGAGAGAGAGAATCCGAAGCAGGTTCCACACAGTCAGCACAGAGGCTGACGTGGGGCTGGAACTCACAAACCATGAGATCATGACCTGAGCTGAAAAAAAGAGTCAGATGCTCAACCGACTGAGCAACCGAGGTGCCCCAAAATCTCTTTCAATTCTTAAAAGTCCCCATTGTTTTACAACTTATTCTAATATCATCTTGTATCAGTGCATTAACTCCTTTCCAGTATGAACACAGGAAACACCAATGACGGAGAGGCATTTCATCAAATATGTGAAGGACGGAGATGCTGAAAGTGAAGCAGTGATCCTGAACCCAGCACCTGAATCCTTCATTTTGGAAGTCACATAACTGGAAGATTTTGGACTAATTGGGATAGTCTTGTGAAGGTCAGGAAAGGAAACTGAGGGTCAAAGAGAGAGCCTCTGTGGCTAGGGCATGTTTGCCAGGAGAGCTAGTTTTCTCAGGCGTAGCATGGGCTAAAGCCCGCTGGACCCTGCCTACTTCAGCACAAAGGCTGGACTTTGGAATGTTGGCTGAGCATGAACATGTAAACCAGAAAGGCTACAAACTAAGAAACCAAGACTGTGGTGTGTTGTGCTAGTATCTCAGTAAACCACACCATTTCTATTATCAATGCACAAGCATCCACAGAGTGTGGGGTCAATTGTCAACTGAGACATCAAATGGCAGTGACAGATAGCAGTGACGGGCCCACTGAGGCCTCCAGTCAATGTCCACCCCAGTGCCATGCCCCCAACTCCCTTCTCTGGCATCCCCACCCACACGGTAAAGATTGCACAGTCCATCAACACAACCACTTCCTCACAGCTACCTCTGACTCTCCCCTCCTACCTCCACCATAGTCACAGGGAATGGCTTCAAGCACCCAATACCTCAGTTTTGCTTACAGTGTCAGCTACAATCTGGATCGCATGCTCGAAAGAACACTCAACACTTCTTGATCCTCCTACCATTCCTTTGGTGGGTTTACTTCCTCCATTTTGGGAGGCAACTATTTACACCTGCATTTCCTATGTTGATCCACCAGCATGGTCTTCTGTTTCACATTTGTCTGATGATGATCTCATCTCACCCTTCACTGGTCTAACAGACACCAACAGAACAAAACCCTCCCTCACCATTCATCACCATGACCTGCGTGTCTAGGATGAAGGAAGGAGCCCTGCCCCCACCAAGGTCCACTCTTCTTCTGCTCTTGACCTCACCACCTTCTGTTGCTTTCCGGGCTCAGCTCCTTTCTTTCTGCATTTGCACAACTCCCCATCTACTCAATATTTTATGATAATGAATAGACACATGCGAACATCATCCATCTTTTACAAGTTGCTCATAACCTCAGATCGCCTCTCAAATACTGCCCAATTTCTCTGTCTCTAGTTAAAGAAAAACATACTGGGTACTCACGATCTCTCCTTCCACAGCTCCGGATCTCACCACTCCACTGAGATATCTGATCAAGGTTGCCAGTGGTCACCGGTGGTGCTTTATCCTCTGTTCACATCCCTAGTCTCACCTTTATTAAGCCTGCAATAGAATTTGAGACAAATGAATACTTTCTTCTTCTTGAAATATTCTCATGTCTTGGCTATTGTGAAACTGTGGCATTCCAAGGTTTTCTTTCTGTCTTTATCACCTCAGTGCATTTACTGGCTCCATGTGGTAAAAATCAGCCTTACACAGAGAGGTCCAGCCTTTTCTCTATGCTACTGGAGGTGGTATCTAGACTCTTGGAATGTCCTGCCTCATGAAAGTGTCTTTGTTCACCAGGGGACCTTGGCCACTTGGCAGGATAACCATGAGACTGATGATGGGGGCTTTGGGGCCTCCAGTATCTGCTCTAGTTCTGGAAAGCCTGGAGACTAAAAGTCACTCAGGTGTGCAGTCAACCATGGACCCAATAACAGTTTTGGACACCAAAGCCTGAGTGAGCTGACCTGGTTGGCAATGCTCCATGAATATCGTTACTCACAGACTGCAAAAAATAACATCTTCCAATGAGTTCTGCGAGTCATTCTAGAGAATTATCAAAGCTTAGCCTGTTTCTGGGATCTACCTAGACTTGTGAGGGAGGTCATGGGGAATCCATGGGCTCCTTCCCTTCTCCCTGTTGAGTACTGGAGGGCTCAGGGCTTCACCCTGGTCCCTGTGCACTTGGTATGCAGGCTGACTTGAGGATTTCACAGAGTCTTAGACTTTCAAATAGCATCCAAAATCTGCCCCAAGTTTCCCTAGAATTTCAGGATAAATGATGAGCTTCATGTGGAACATGCATTCTTTTATGAATAGTAGTTGTTCTGATTCACATGTCCACAGAAAATTGTTACCTCTCCCCACTCTGTTTCTCATTAATCAACATGATAATCAGTTAACTGCATCCACTCATTTGCTCAGACTAGTACCTAGGGGTTATTCTTTTTTTTAAAGTTTATTTGTTTTTGAGAGAGAGACAGAATGTGAGCAGAGGAGAGGCAGAGAGAGAGGGAGATGCAGAATTTGAAGCAGCCTCCAGACTCTAAGCTGTCAGCACAGTCTGACGCGGGGCTCAGACCCACAAGCTGTGAGATCGTGACCTGAGGTGAAGTCAGATGCTTAACCGACTGAGCTACCCAGGCGCCTCTCCTAGGGATTATTGTTGATTCATTCCTTCCCTTTGCTCACTCTTCAGAACCCATCAACAAGTGCTAACATCCAGCTCAAATGCAATGGGATGATCACCCTGCTTGTGAAAACACTGTACCACGTCTGGATTGGTCAATAAAGACCCACTGCTCTAAGCAAGACCCTTTTTTGCCCTCTACAACCTGAGCCAGCCTCCTGGTCTCATATATTATTACCTCCCCAACTTCCCACAACCCAGCAACTAAAGTGCTATTGACTGCAGGGGGTGGGGTCGGCGGGGGGCGGGGGGGGGGGGAGGCTGGCTACAGGACCTGGCTTTGTTCTAGCTCTGTGACCAGCTAAGGTTATGCTTGCTGGGTGCTTGCGGCAGCTGTGTTTCAGAATGGTTTTATCTCGAGCAGTTCCCTTGGCATCTTTGGGGACTGCTCACAGCTAACTACGCCACTCTCGCACCTGCCAACCTGCTGCATCTCCCACCAAATCATCCCGCTTCCCTGGGAAGGCCCTCTTTTCCAACACATCCTTGGCCTCAGTGGCCAAGTCAGGAGACAGGAGTTCTGGAGTCGACTGCCTGAAAGCTACACGGTACCTCCACCTCTACACGCCTAATGGCCATCGGCACCCTGGCATTGTGATCACGTGCTTTGGGCCATTGGTCTTGGAACCATTCTTGTGAGCATGGCTTATTAGGTGAATTGAAGCTTTCTTGGAACATTTTTTTTTTCCTCTCTATCACGTTCCTAGGAGAAACCTGGCTAGTAGGCAGGCCAATCCTGATTGGGCTCATCAAAGGCAGTGCGTAGCAGGGCACTGTGGGCTCAGGCGGCCACCAGTTCTCCACACAGAGTCGGGGGGTGGAGAAACGGATGGAGCTCCTAAGTCTGTATGAAGCCGGGGGTGTAGGGAACACAAATGTCCCTTTTCACGCTTCCCATTAAATTCCCTTTTTTGTTTACAGTGATGAGATTAAAATGCCCCACATTTACCTTTTTAATGTGTACAACTTCACACACACTATCTTCACAAGATGGTGAAACCACCACCACTCTGTTTCCAGGACATCTTCATCATCCCCCAAAGAAACCCCATAACCATTGACATTCTCACCTCTTCTCCCCCCAAATCTGGCAACCATTAGCCTACCCTGGGTCTCTGTGGATTGGCCTTTTGCTGGACCATTTATATCATGGGAATCATAGGGCATATGCCCTTCTGTGTCTGGCTCCTTTCACTTGTATTTTCAAGGTTCGTTAGTGATTTAGCACATATCACAGCTTCGCTTCTTTTTGTGACCGAATAATATTCTATTGTAGGAAGTAGTCCATTTAAAACAATCTTTTAAGCAGTTGGTGGATATTTGGGTTGTTTTAACTTTTTGGCTTATCTGCAAAGAGCTTCTCTGACATTTGTGTACACATTTTTGCTGGAATTCTGTTTTAAATTCTCTTCATTTTGTAGATTCTCTTAGACTTGCAGGCAGGTTTGAAATCAAGAAGTGTATAAAGCCCATAACTCTGTTCTTTTTCAAAAATGTTTTGACTGTCCTAGATCCTTTGTTTTCTCTTGTGAATTTTACTGTCAGCTTACTGTTCTGTAAAAAAAAAAAAAAAAAAAAAAAAAAAAAGGGGAGTCTCATAGGGATGATGTTTAAGCTATAAATGAATTTGAATATCACTATTTTAAAAAATATTTAGACTTCTAATCCATGAATACATGATGTCTTTCATTTGCCTAGGTTTTTTGTTTGTTTGTTTCTCTTATTTCTTTCAAAAGTTGCTGTCGTTTTTCAGTGTACAGGTTTTTCATTCCTTCTGTTAAATTCATCCTGTACTATTTTTATACTATTGTAAGTCAAATGGTTTTCTTCATTTTTTTTTAGATTATTAATTGCTAAGGTGTAGAAAAATAACTGTTTTTTTGCAGGTCAGTCATCTTTCTGCAACCAAACTGAACTCACACATTAGGTCTATCAAGGGCTGTGTGTGTGTGTATGTGTGTGTGTGTGTGAATGCTTTAAGGTTTTTGAAATTCAAAACATGGTCATTTGGAAACAATTATAGTTTTATTTCTTCTTTTCAACATAGAAAAGAAGAAATTTTCTTGCGTAAGTACCTCAGTAACACCCTCCAGTGCACTTTGGATAGAAATAGTGTCTTGTTGGGGCGCCTGGGTGGCTTAGTCGGTTAAGCGTCCGACTTTCCGACTTTCGCTTAGGTCATGATCTCGCGGTTTGTGGGTTCGAGCCCCGCGTCGGGCTCTGTGCTGACTGCCAGCTCGGAGCCTGGAGCCTGTTTCAGTCTGTGACTCCCTCTCTCTCTGACCCTCCCCTGTTCACGCTGTCTCTCTCTCCTAGAAATAAAAAAAAAAAAATAAAAAAAAAAACATTTAAAAAAAGAAATAGTGTCTTGTCTTCTGGTTGCTCTCAGAAAGAAGAACTCTTTTGTCTTTTGCTGGGTTTTGTCAATAAACTTTTCTGTGCTGAAAAAGATGATCACGTGGGCTTTGTATTTTATTTTGTTAATAATGGATATTGATTGATTTTCATATACTGAACCAGTCTTGCGATACAGTTTTAGTTTTCTTTTCATCGGATATCTTTGCTTGGTTTGGGTATTAAAATAATACTAATGTCCTAGAACCTAGAAAGTGATCCAATTTCCTCTGGTTTTGAAAGAGCTGGTGAACACATGTCCTTCATTCTTTGAACATTTGGCTGAATTCATCAGTGAAGCCACCTGGAGTGGGATTTTCTTTGTGGGAGCTGCAATTCTGTGATTGCTAATCTGGCCTCTTTACTTGTTGTAAATCCATGCACATTTTCTCTTTCATCTCGAGTCTGATTCATTAGCATCTGTCTTTCTAGGAATTTATTTCATTTAGGTTATCCAACTTGTTGGCAATAAACCCTTCACAGTATTTTCTTACAATCCCTTTTTAGGGAAGAGCTGCAGTTTGCTTCCTCTTTCATTTTACTCATTTGTCTTTATTTTATCACCACTTGTCTTGTTAAAAGTTGGCCAATTTTGCCCATATTTTGATAGAACAAACTTTTGCTTTTGTTCATTTTGCCTATTTTTCTACTGTCTGTTTCATTTATTTCTGGTCTAATCTTTATTATTTCTTTCTTCTGCTTGGTATGGGTTTAATTTGCTGTTCTTTTTCTAGCTCTTAAGGCCAAATGTTCTTTACTGACTTGCGTTTTTTTTTCTTTTTTAATACAAGCATTCACAGCTATGCATTCTCTCCCAAGCACTGCTCTCTCACTGCAGTCCATCAATTTTGTTATGCTGTGTTTTTGTTTTCACTCACATCAGTGGGCTTTCTCTTTCTTGGTTCAAGTTTTTATTTAAATTCCAGTAAGTTAACATATAGCGTAATATTAGTTTCCCCAGGAGTAGAATTTAGTGATTCATCACTTACACACAACACCCAGTTCTCATCCCGAATGCCCTCCTTAGTTCCCATCAGGCATCTAGTCTCTCTCCCCACCCATCCCCCTCCAGCAACCCCAGCTTGTTCTCTATAATTAAGAGTGTTCTACAGCTTGCCTCTCTCTCTGTCTGTCCCTCCTTCTCTCTCTCATATCACAGTCCTTTCTAATTTTTCCTTCTTTCCTTTGTGGCTCATTGGCCATTTAAGAGTGTGTTGTTAATTTCCACATATTTTGGACTTAGCCAAATTACCTTTTGTTACTGATTTCTAATTTCATCTTATTCTGGATGGAGAACATACTTCCCATGATTTCAATATTTTCACATTTGTTGAGACCTGTTTTGTAGCCTGACACATGATCAACCTTGGAGGAGGTCTCTGTGTCCTTATGAAGAACGTGCATTCTGCTCTTGGAGGATCCTGCAGTGGCTGGAACAAAAGCTCTAGAATAACAAACCAAACACTACTCTGTG